AAGGTTCCTAACTTAGGATCTTAAATTTCAGAGACTTCTGAATTGGAGTGAACCTCTATTTCCAAAGTTTCCAAATAAACATTCCCCCAAAGTGATCTCAGGTATATGCTGGAAGAAGCATTAAAATTCAGGATGATGAGAGTAAAGGCAAACAGAGCTTGGGGAAAGCACTTGGAGAAGGAGGATGAAAACAGCCATGAGCCCCTTCTGCTAGAAGTGTGTTTCACATATGCTAGCTTCTAGGGAGAAAGCACTAATCTCATATACAGAGGCCACCTCAGCTGCTCCCCTCTTCACCAGAACAATTCATGTCAAAAGTTCTTTTAAGGACACTTTTTGCCAACCAGCTGTTCTCTCATTGTAGGAAGTCACCTCCCTTGCTCTTTGGCTTCTTGGACCTCCAGACGAGATAGGAGAAGCCTTGCACTAATGATACCCTAACAGTGATACCACAATAACAGAGGCGGTACACACACTCAAAGAAATTACTGTGTGTTAGGTACCTTGGTCTGTTAATCACCTTCTCATGCAGTACAGCCTAGAACCTTCTCGGTGCAAGAGACAAATTTGAGTACACAAGTTACAAAGTTTTCATTTTGACCATAAAAAAAAAAACTGCTGAACACACATGAAACAGAATAACAGCAGATTACAAATTTTTTTTTTCTTAAAGAACTTTTACATAACGAATCTACCATTACAGCCAATGAGAGTTATGCAATGACATGCACAGAAGGTCAGTCAAATGCACACCAGCACTGAATTTTGGAAAGTGACAGAACACACGGCAGACTATTGCACCTGCACTTCATAATGCACTGCTTTGCTTTCCTGTTTTAGCTATTACCCTGTTCCAGAAACATGCTGGAGTATATCAGATATAGATGTTCAGCTGGACAACATTTTTTGACTTCTGAAAAAATTTATCAAAGAGGAGAAAATGCCCGTATTTCCCCTTAAAAACCTATTAAGACACTTCTGCTCATTCTTCTGACTTGTCAAGTTATCACTTAGCTCAACTCCAGTAAAGAGCTTATAAAAATGCCACATACAAAGGTCACTTAATGCAAATTAATTCTATGCATTCAACTTTATCTATCTTGCTGCAGTGGCAAAAGGATAAACTTCTGTAAATATGAAGAATCAGCACGAGTGTTCTGACCAAGGGTACATACCATGCTTCATAATGCATGCTACATTCCACTACTTCACATCTGAGCAGAGCCATCAGACTGTGGAAATAAACCATAAACAATGGAGAAGTTGCCATTTCAGTGCCTAGTTCCTTGTTACTGAAGATGCTAAAGGTGGACGAACAAGTCTGCAGTTTCTTTATCCCAAGTTCCTTCTGTGAGACTGACAGTAAGCAGAGCACATTCTGTGTATATAGAAGACACCGAAAGACCAAGAACTGGGGATTTTTTTCATATGCACATCCAATATTCCTGGGAAAAGTTAGTTTTAGCTTTACATTTCTTAGACAAAACAGAAACTATTGGCTTGATTTCTGGAAAATTACATGATGACAGTCAAGCAAATTTGGTCTATGGAGAATCAGGAAGTCTTGCTACAAAAGGGTCAAAGTTTGATAAATCTTGAGTTTATTTTTCTTTTCAAAAATACAATTTGGCAGCGCTTGAAATACAGGTAAATAATAACGTTAAACCCCAACAAACCTGAACTTGCTGGAATCATTTAGCAACAGTATGTATCAGTCACAGTTTAGATCGTGGGGCTGCAATGCTGATTGTCCCCATTATTTAAAAATAAATTTTATCCAGGAGCTGTGGAACTAATCTTGGCCTGATGTTAAACCGCAAACAGGCACAGAGCATGAACTAGGAAAATGTGTATTATCTGTTTTCCTGTATAAGCACAAGTAAGAGTTGCTCTGCTTTACCTTTTTCAAAAGATCCATGCTCTTGTCCACCTCTCTCGCACTCATCTCTGGGCAGCGTCAACAATCACTGAAATTAATTCTCTCAAGAATAGCTATGGAGCAAGTAATAAAAAATGAATGCTTTAACTGTGCATATCTATGCCTTCAAGGGTTTGAGTTTCTTTTAAATTAACCTCAGGTCTGCACTACCACACTTCAATGATTGTGTTACGCTGTTATAAAATTCAACCTGTACCTTATACTAAGTTAAGCTTAATGTCATCATTAATTCATTATTTTAAATAGAGCCAATTTCAGATACAATCTGCTTAGTTTATACAGGGAAGTTAAATGCTGAAGAGTAACTCCAGCACAGTACACAGCAGGAACGTTGCTGCCTCTTAGTGATCACAGTTCATTGCTTCTACAGGACTTGAATGTCTTCCACGCTGTGCACTCAGCTCTGTGGAAAGGTATACACAGTTTCTTTGTTTCCCTATTCTATGCATCATAGGTGTGACTTTGGGGAGCCTGCAGAGAAACTACTCACTCACCTACTGCCCTCTCCTCTGCTTTCTCCATTGGCTAGCAAAGCTGTTAGCACATGCTTGTGGAGGAAGCAAATCCCCACACTACAATGCTGAAAATCAAAAACCATTTGTACAGAAAGATTTTTCTGACACAACTTGCAGACTAAGCACATCCTCACTGAACAGATTTGGCTTTGTTCATTTCAAGTCTGACTTTGAAGCAGATTTCCTCCAAATGACTCTATTGTTTATTCTTGCCAATTCTATACTCATGAAGAAAGGATGAAAAGGAATTGTGCTGCTGGTATGGAAATGCTTTGAGCGGAGGATGGACTAGATGACCTACGTTCTTCAATGAGTCCATCCAACAGCATCCACATGGTGTGAATAAACTAGAGTTTGGAGATCCCAGTAATGGATTTCTACTTCCCCAGGAATCCCAACCCAACAATCCAAAATGTAAAAAATTGTCCACACGAGGCAAGCACAACAGCCCCACTGCTACAGGTAAGGTGCAATGAGAAGCCCTAATGCAGAAGATGCACACTTTCCAGCATCTGTCTCTCTGTATCTGCAATTACTGTGGTGTGCTTGTTTCACAAAGTTTGGCAAAGAGGGCAAAAGAGAGCATCCAGGCATAATGAAGCTCAGCCATCCACAGAATTATGATTTGAGCACATAAAAGGAGGTTGGACTTGAAAACGCTATTAGCCCACATCTGTTCCAGGGTAGTGGCCAGCTCAGTAAGTGCAATGGGATGTACTTCACAATATATTATACAACTGACATAGAATAAAGGGGCTTCACAGCACTTTTTAAGAGTTTGCAGTGGTGGTAGCAGCCTCACTGTCTTAAGGATCAGAACTGTGAAAGAACATACTGGGAATTCATGACTGTTGCAGAGGCAGTACAGTTGGTATCCTGTGTCAAAATAGAGATGTCCCAAGTTTCACTCCTATCTGACAGAATCAGGGTCACTCTGAGAGTTTTTATTTCACGTATTCATCTCAACTGATGCTGACCACCACTGCCAAAATTTAGTCCAGCTTCTGGCAGCACAGAGAACATAATGGTAGACTTAGGTTTTGTTCCTTGTTTTCTTCTGTATAGTTTCTATGTTTTAGTGTAGTACCAATCACATGGCTTTTTGTTTCTTCTCATATATCCATTTAACAGAGACTAAAAAGACATCCATACTTCAGTATCTGAACTCTAAGGCTCCCTGAGTTTGTCTCTCCCACTAGTGGGAGTAAGGGTGAGCAGAATTCAGATGTCTGCACCACGCCAGCTAGATACCCAGCAAGGCATAGTATTACATTAGAAAAAAAAATCCAAACTCTAGAGGATGCATACACAAAGGTTGTGTGCCAGCATTTAAACAGGGAGGTGAGAACCTGTCAGCAAGACCCTGGAACAGAAATCAGGCACACAGTAAATGGGCATAAAGATAAATCTGTGGACCTGGGGGTTGACAAAAGTGCAGAAAGCAGTCTGGTAGAGCAGCTGGAGGATGGCAAAAATAATACACAGCATAGCTACAGTCACACAAAGAGCAGAAGGCAGTAAACTCACGTGAAAGTAATACAATAAAAACAATAAGCAATATTATTTTTTTATCCAGCAGAAGGAAAAACTATACAGTAATTTTTCTCCTTTATTCCATACAAAGAAATTAATAATACATAATACAGTTAGGAGGTTTTCCATTATGTACCTACAAAGGTTAATACTGTGTAAACCCTCATAATCCCAAAATGAAATCTCAGGCAGATCTCAATCAGTTGTAGTCACAGAGATGCTGTCATCTTGTACATTATTGTCTTTAAAAAAAAGTTTTGCAGGTCAGGTCATAGAGCCTTTCAGACACGTACAGATCCAACTAATGTACTCTCTCTGTTCAACACTGCAGCACTTCAAATACTTCTATGGATTCTCAAGATAACTTTAAAGAATTCACTGTCAGTGATTAACTTCTAATGTCCAGAACCGGATGTTACAGCAACAAAAGCTTGTTTCTTGTAGATATTTATTACATTACCAAATTCATTTAACTGGAAAATTTTTCCATGCAGAGGATATTTTTTCCTGTACCTTTAAATACACAATACTCATTTGTACTGTAAATTGTACATGATCCCATTCCACAGCTCAGTAACTGAAGAGATATGAATGTAAGCATATTTATTACAATACTTAACATACGCCTGTGTTCTCAGAACGTATGATTTAACAGTGGGCCCCACTGTCACAAAGTATAATTGAGACCAGGGCACATAACAGTCTAAAATAAAAACAAAAATCAGAACCCACAAATACGTACCTTGTACACTGAACAATTCCAGAACAACGTATGGTTTTATTTTACTAATACAAAGCAGGAAATTGCTTTGATTGGTGAATTATTAGACACTTGTTTGTTACAAGGCTTCTTAAGACTTCCTTGGAGACAAGTCTTGACAGAGCACATACCAAATAGGTGCCTCATACTGCAAGTGTTTTTCTATTCTTGCCTTAAATGCAATCTGCTTTTCTGCTTTTATTAATTTTATTGAAAATAAAACTAATATATACTTCTAAAATTAGATACTTACAGTGAAAATACCCATTAGCTGAGTGTAAAAGAGTCCACTTATTCCACCTAATATTATTAGACCCATGAAGGCAGATATTCTTAGGAGAGCAAGTTCATGCCTAAATACAAAAACATCCTAGAACAAGACAGAAAGAAGAGAGAGACTTTAGCACTTACAAATTAATTTAAGTCATTGAACCAAGTGGAAAGACTAGATAGGAGCTGTTCCTGAAGACTTACAGCTAAAGGCAAATATTGGATATTTGAGCTACATTGCAAATCATCGATACATTTATGTGCTAAAACTATAAACCAATAAACTTTTATTTATACATGTAAACAGTTGTGGGGTTTCGCCAGACTGTTAAAAAACAACTTATTCAGTTATTTAAGGTTTGGGAATAGATGAAGCTCAAATGGGTTATTCCTGAATCTTCCATCTCAAACTGTGTCAAATTGCTACTCACAACCTCTGAAACATAAGAAACCCATTCTGTTAAAAAGTCTGATTTTTATAAGACTCCTTTATCTCAGCTCCCAGCCACGACAAATTTCATTTTAACATCACCTCTTTTATAATAAAAATAACGACATTCCTAGCTTGACTCTTGAAGATGGTACCTACAAAATCCAAATATCTGTATTGGATTGGCCTCACTGTAATGCTGTCTATTATCCAACATAAACTTATCTTCATGTTTTAAATTTTAGCCTTAAGTGGATTATATGGATATGGGTGCACAACCAAGTTGCCTCAGGGTACAGGAGGATATGAATTTACTGTATCAGCTGCTCTGGAAAGCCTGCTCTCACCCAGCAGAAAATATGAAAAGTGTAAGAGAGTTTTTTTATAGATCTTTTTCAAAGGATAAAACACCTTATTTTTATCACAGGAAAACATTTGTACATGGCAGTTACTGTAGATGTACTGCAAGTTCACACCCCATCTTACCCTTTGATAATGAGTTAACACACCCATTCTCTTATTTATAAGTTACGATTATGTTCTCAAGGCTGTCTTTTGAATGTACACATCTGTTTTTCCACTTAGAAAAGACAGGTCACAGCAGGAAACTATTAAAACCTTTCAAGTAAACTTTAAATTACAACCAGAACATAAAAGTGGACTGAATAAAAAAAACCCAAAACACTGCTTTTGATCTTTCCTTCTTTACATTCAACCAGTAGGGCTTAAGGAAGAGGAATTCTGAAATTCAGGAATACTGAGTTGTAATTAAACAGAGAATAGTTAAAGCAAATTTTATTTAGTAAAGAAGTCTGATTTTAGATTTAAATTATTTCCATTAAGGTTCAAAATATAAACTCAGGAAAAAAACTTTATACTGGCTACTAAAGCTGTGAAGAAAGTCAGTATTTAATGAACAAGTAGAAATCACTAGTTAACCAGCTAAAAAAAAAAGCAAACACTACCAGTCTCTTCTGAACTGGTAAGCCAGATCTTGTTATTATTGGCCTTTCTTGCTGCTGTAGAAAATATATGCTTCATTTCCATTTTTTCTAAATTCTTCTTACTCAGTTAATGAGTTAATTCAAAGTTAAATCAACTCAAAATAAAAGCATTCGTACTAATCTTTACTCCCCTTTCCACCAGCCCACCACAGCTTTAAAGAAAAGCAAGGTAAGACACAAGTTCTACTAGCTGTAAAATACTTTCTCTTCTTATCTTCATACATATGCTGTTTTATTATATCAGAAATTGCAGAGTCACAGAACGGTCAGGGTTGGAAGGGACCTCTGGAGACCATCTAGTCCAATACGCCTGCCAGAGCAGGTTCACCTACACAGCTCTGATGTATCCACCTCCCAGGTTGTTGCCTGTTCTAAAGGTTAACCTCCCTTTAGCCACTACTTCCATCCACCCAGTCAAACTGCAAGGTTTCTTGGCAACTTATAAAAATGGATAGAAATGTGTAAAACAGAAACTTGTCACAAAATAAGAACAGAAGCATAGGCCTGTAGGATTATGTTGAGGAATTGACCACAAACCATAAGATATGGCAACTTTATCTTAACAGGCAATACCAAAACATTCCACAGAAAGCCAGTATCCGACAGAGTCACATAAGACTTCCTCAAGCCTATGGCAAAACACATGCAATGTCTTCATTTGTGAGCATCAACTGTTATGGATGATCCCTACAATAAATGCTACCATGGGCTAGGAAAACAGCTATTACAGCTTCACGCTATCATAAAGGAGAGAGGTCAAAAGCAATGATGGGTCCAGCCCAAGATGATAATCAATGAAATGACCACTGCTTCCAAATTCAACTTTCTTTTTACCCTACTAACAAAACAACAACAACAAAAAAAGCATGAAAACATTCAATGGGTCCCTGTCATTTGCAGTATTGGGGTATTATTTTCAAGGGTTTACAGTATTCCATTAAAAACAGCACACTGTACAGTGGACAGAGCTCTCAGCAGGACCAACACGGGACTATGGTATCTGTTCCCGAAGAGACAAAGCAAAAAACAACCTTCATAAATTTTTATTTACAATGTAAGATTAATTTATTCAGTCTTGATTCTTTACTGAAATATGATATACACAGAAATTAATACACTAACAAAATATGTTAAGATACTTCATCTTTCTCTTGGGGAAAGGATACCTCATGTAACACATGCTAACCTGCTTGTCTATTCTCCATTGCAAATGCGTGGGATGTCTATCCCAGTCTGGTGACGCAGTCAGTCTATCAACTTGGCTATCATAAAAACAGTGCAGAACACAGAACAAAACCAGGCTGTCGGATTCAAAAAAGCAAAAGAAAAAATACAGACTGCAGGTTTTGCAGGAAGAAAGAGGAAAGAGAGGCACAAGGGAGAAAATTCACACCTTAAAAAAAAAAAAAAAAAGAATTAACAGAACAAAAGGTGCATTCTAATCAGCCCTTTTGTAGAGATATTTATGATTTATAACAACTGATGTTTACATAGAGCACTTTTTGATTCAGGACTATTTCAGGTCTAATAAATGAGTAAATTTCCAGTCTGATTCATGACCAATGTAGTTTAAAGTGAAAATGGGACTAATGCTCTGATTCCAAAAACAGTTGTATACATAGAGTTCAATTCAAAGATAATTCTGAAATAGTTTCAGACTAGAACAGATTTTAAAAGAGGGCCATACAATCTTTGCATAAAAATGACACTACCAATATATTAAGTATTGGCAAAATGTTATCCTCTTAGTCATTCCTATCCTGGCTCTACAGACCATGTATTTACTTTCTAAACTTAATTCAATATCCATATACTGTCCTTATACAGGAGGAGAGCAAGGTTAGGTCAGTTTTGCAGAACACTGAGAAGGAAAATTCTGATGTATTTTTATTTTTCTAAAAAATCTCAGATCCTGTAGGTCACTTTGTGACCCTAAGAGAAAAGGTTTTCTTTACATTCTCTTTACAATATAAATAGACTCTGAATGATACCTATTTCCAAATTTTAATTAATATTAGTTAATACATAATATTGAAATAAGTATCACTGTAAATAATCTTCTCACAAAGTTTAATGAATATTTCCCAACACCTTTTATTTGGAATTGGGAAGGCTGAGTCCCAGATAGAGCAGGCTGATACTGCCACAATGCTTCCTTCACGATGTTCCTCCCCCTTCTAGTAACAGAACTCGGAACTCTTCAAAACTTAGTTAAATAACAGTATTTTCATAATATACAATGGATAACTGCAGAACCAGAAACCAAGTAAAACTAAACCAGAGGAAAGCGGTTTTTTACTTCCTAAAAGATACAGACTTCCTGACCTTGACGCTTTTTAACGAACACACAAAATAAAGGACGCTCTAGTCTTAGCCTTTCAAAATGACCAAAGCTAGCAGAGGAACTCATATGCCGTTTTATTCAAATTACCTATTTTTCTTCTGCTAGGATCTCACATAGACAATTTAATTACCATTTCCTTCATTTCTAGTAGTAATTGTACTCCTCCTGCTGGACAAACAGAGGCAATAACCACAATCCATCTTTCTGACAGTATCAAATACAAGAGCCATGAATACTATGAAGCATTGTTCTGTTGCAAGACCCGAAAGTGAAAGATTGTAACTCTATTGAAATGGCTTCCCCTCTAGCTTTAAAGCTACCACCCTTACCTTAGTATACTTAATTAAAAATGTTTAGGTTTTTCTTACATAACCCTTTAAAGATAAAAGCTTTAGAGAGAAAAAAAAAGTTTTCATTCAGAAGGACATATTAGCATGCATTCAGTGATTATATTTTCATAATGCACTCGTGATAAAATGATTATTTCACAACAGCATTAAAAGCAATTTTAATTCTACAGCCCCTATGTTATGTACTATTTTATATCCAAAGAATAAAAATTAAGATGAAGGCACACCGCCAAAAAATTCACAAGTATTTTTAATGAGCAGGAAGTAAGCTAATTCCAGATGGCTGTTTAGAAAAATTTATCCAGTTTTCTGAATCTGAGCTAAACACTAGCCCCTGACAATTCAGAAAATGTAAGCTCTTGGTTACAGGCAAAATTTCAACAAAGAATAGCGCTTCCATCAAAGGTAGAAGGTACTGCAGTCTCTGGAACGCTGTGGTATTTCAGCTTTAATTGATATAGAAAGACTAAAAGAATCTTTCAGCATGCTTCCCTAAAAAACTAATATTAAGCAAATCTGCCCACTGGTCCTGTCAGAATTACATAATTCTGACAAATTATTCTGTGGCACAGAGTTATATGGCATCATGTCCTTAGCAACACTTTAAAAAAATCAGTTTAATGGGCTTCTGATGTCACCTTCCAGGCAGATATATTCCAGGTGGATGAAAAGCAGGACATGAGCTGACATGGCCTGCAGAAGGCCAACTGTACCCTGGGCTGCATCAAAAGCAGTGTGGCCAGCAGGTCGAGGGAAGTTCCTGCCCCTCTGTTCCGCTCTGGTGAGACCCCACCTGGAGTACTGCATCCAGCTCTGGAGTCCTCAGCACAGGAAGGACATGGACCTGTTGGAGCAGGTCCAGATGAAGGCCACAAAAATGATCAGGGGACTGGAGCAGAGAGAGTTGGGGTTGTTCAGACTGGTGAAGAGAAGGCTCTGGGGAGACCTTACCGCGGCCTTTCAGTACTTAAAGGGGGCTTCTAAGAAAGATGGGGACAAACTTTTTAGAAAAGAGGGTAGATTTAGACTAGATATACGGAAGACATTTTTTACAATGAGGATGGTGAAACACTAGCCCAGGTTGCCCAGAGAGGTGGTAGATGCCCCATCCCTGGAAACATTCAAGGTCATGATGGATTGGACTCCGAGCATCCCAATCAAGTTGAAGATGTCCCTGCTCATCGCAAGGGGGTTGGACCTTTAAAACTCCCTTCCAAGCCAAACTATTCCACAATTCTACAATATATTGGCTAGACACCCAAACAAATTATTCTTAATTTTCTGTACTTCAGTGTGTGCCCCACAATCCTGCAGCTGAAAACCTGAGAAAGCTAAATATTATTCAGTGTAATACTAGACTTAACAAAGGTCTGAAAGACCAGACCTGCTGCGTCTACTAAGTTTTTCTATAAACTTATTTATCTCTCTGGGACACAGAATGTTACATACTATAACACAGATTCACTTGTATAAAAGGAAGAGTGTCATTTGAAGTATACACATATGCAAATTGATGAAGATGAAAAACCCACAGCTGAAACAAAACAGAACTAAACAGAACAAAGTACTCCATTTTTTCCATGATGCTGCATAAACTTAGGCAGCCAAACATGCAAACCTGATCCACTTTTCAGGTAACTACATTAAACTGGGTTAAAATAATTATTGAGTATGTATTCTGCCTCCTAACCTGTCATATCTTCTAAAGGGTAGATATTAAAAGTAAGTCTCTGCCCAAAAGACTTAAAATTAACCCAGTTAAATCATCAAGAACAAAGTTTTATACATATTCATTTTTTGAACTATTATTAATAACTATTTATTATTACCTCTTCAGAGGTTGTAAACCATCTGAAATAAACATGATTTCCTTTTCCCTCTCTTGCACAGACCAAGCAAATAATTTGGTTCCCTTTCATCCTGTTTTTAAAAAGCAAGGCTAACAAACAGAACTTGGGTTCATTATCTGAACACAGCATTACTTAAAGTAAGTTAGAGCATTCAGGGGACTCTCACGATAAAAAGGAAATATTCTACCATGAAATTACACTATTAGAGAAGCAGCACCTATTTCAGACAAGGATTTTTCTCTTCGGAAAAATAAGACTTCTTCTAGAAGCACTGCAATACCTAATCCAGTATTCAGATTAGTATCATCAAGAAGCCATTGCACTTGAAACCTGCAAACCCTGTGCACTAGAAGCCTTCAGAATATAGAAAGTATAGAAAATTACTATGTCCAGAAGTGGAGTAGGTTAACTTAGTTTAAAAATTAAAAAGAAGTTCACAAAGCCACTGAAACTAGAAGCACAGGTATTTACAGTTACCTTTCAAAAAACATTAACTTTCCAAAACCCAAAAATGTAACATATCCGTAAGAAATTTTACTTAGACAACAGGTTTCTTCACTAATACAGAAAGACTGCAATTTCATATCCCGCTTAATTTGAATGCAGATAAACCAAGCAAAATACCTCCCTCAAATTTCACAATGCCTGTAAAACAAGGTGAATATCAAAAGCCCATCTGCAAAAAAATGGGGAAAAAAGTAATAAGTGCGAGTACTCCATTTTAAGAGACACATTTTACAGGTCTGTCTCTGCTTATGAAAAGATGCTCCAAGCAGACAGCAATTTCTTCTCTTTTCCATATTTCTAGAGTCACTTAAACCATTTAAATGGAAATATTCATATAGATGAAAAAAAAAATTAAATTCCTTCAAAATAGAAGCTATTTTAAGAGAGATTTGCAAAAATCCTCAACTTTGGTACATTCCATGTAATGAAAAGCTGGCATCTATCAACTTGAATATAACACTTTTATCAGTTCTGAATGATCCAAGGAGTACAGTCTTCCTATATTTTCAGCTCTCCTTTGATACAACATGTTCTCATACCCTTTCTTGGGAACATCATAGCCACTACAGACTGATACAAATTAGAAGCTTGGAGGGCAATGCCCCATTCTTTTCCTAAAGTAGAATTTTTCAGGAAGTTTAATATTCTTATTTTATACCATTTAGGATTAAAACAATAATACAACAAACTTAAGCTGTTCAACAAAATGGAAAATAGGACTTGCCTTACCCATAACCAAAGGCCAGCCTCCAGCAGCCATGGAAGATGGGTGTGATGTATGTCACATCAACACAGAATAAAAAAAATTTGCAGCACTTCAGTACTTGGAAAAAATCTCAACAAAATCTAGAGTACATTACCATTTTCTGGGATAGTCTTAGTCTCTTCACAGCACATGTGGAATGTTATCTAATTTTGAATATGTTTTAAACTTGTTTTCTATGTTTTTCTCTTTAGTGCACCTTTACTTGTTATAGTCCAGTACAAATACAAAATCCATTTCAGATTTTGGGTAGAAGTTTTTATGCTTCTTTATGAGATCTTGCTCACAACATTTTCTTCAAAAGAAAGAGTATCAATTTTGCTATACTAGCACTTTGAAGCATTCAGCAACTTTCAAGCAAAACTCTGGAGTATTCTGAACATTACAGATAATAGACATAAATGAGCACCAGACAGAGACTTTACAACTTCAATTCCATAATGGAAGAAATTCTATATTTTTTTACTCTATTCCAATCCATATGTCCATTTTCTCTATTTGTGTGTTCAACTGCATTTTGCTGATGACAAGATGTTGAAATATGATAATGGCATAGAGTCCAAGTAAAACAAACCAAACCTAATTCTCCCTTAACCCACGCTACCTTTTCAAAGCAACACAAAATATTGCTTCAAAACCAATGTACATTTTTCTTGTTTCAGAATGATTGTATGTTTTTTTCTCATTTTTATAGCAATATCAGCATTTTTAAATAGAGACTTAGGATAGTTATATACTCTGGATAGATTTACTTTGGAGAAAGTAAAAAGAAATCTTAATACACCTAAAGTAGTTAACTTGCTTCTTCCCAGTAGTCACTAATCACTTAAAAAGGAACCTAACTGGTTCTTTCCTCCCTTCCTAGATTTCTAAGAAAACTAGCATTGTGTTGTTAACACACAGAAATCATATAACCTTTTAGAATGATATTTCGTTACTTACTATAAATCAGTTTCTCACTTGATAACATACATCTACATGAACTCTCCACTGTTAACAACTGAGCCAGCAGAAACGTATAGTAATTAGATATCAAAATAAATTACACTGCAGTACTAGCTATTTATTCACTTTGTAGAGAAACCAGATTCTTACCCAGTTTTCCTTTTTCAGAGGGAAAAAGTAGTAGTAATGGCAGAAATCAAGTATCAGCGTATAGGAACTAAGGATCTGAGTGTAGAAACACAGCTGTAAAAACAGCCAGTGATTGTCTTCACCAACACAATTATTAATCCTGCAGAGAAACAAAGTGTATATATAAAGACAGAAATATAAAGACTTTATCACCGCAGTTATGATACTGTGAAAAAGAGAAGCCATGATTGTTTGCTCCATAGAGCAAACGTAAGAACTACTGATCCAGCACTCCATTCTTAATCAAAGTGATGGTTTGTATGTTAGAGATGGCAGTTACTGTAAAGGGTGGTTTCCTCACACTGCCACTTAAAGCGCAGGTTGCATTACTGAGATCACTGCTTAGAACAGGAGACTTATTTCTCCGTATCTTTATGTAGCAAATATACTCCTACAATGTTAAGTAAAACTCAAGTAACAAAAATTATTTTTAAGTCTGCAAAATTTCATAGTAATATTTATTATCTTCTGCTACTCAACACATTTCACTGCTTGTGAACCACATAGAGTGCAAAAACGGGAAATGCAAATAAATGGTTTGAAATAAATGTGACCACAGGGTACCCCAATGACAAATAAGCGTGAGTTAGGAAGGAGCCTAAGAAACAGAAGACAGAACAGGCATCTCTATTCAGAAACTACTCCTGCATACTCCAACATAAAGAAGTACAGGAATCACAAGGATACAAAACATTTGATATCTAGGTCGAGTCTGCTTCAAAGAAGTTACACTGATGCAAAAAATGTGGTCGGAGTGCAATTTCATACAAGCATTGGCACAGACATCAGTACAAAGATAAGCCATAATGACAAAAGCGCTATACTGGCACTATATTCTGAAGCAATGACTGACAAAAAGGGTTCTTTGAAAGATGGGTAAATCAACATAAGACGATCCTGATGTCAGTTCTGTCCTCTGCAGTTCATCATTGCTGTCTTGCTGGAAATGATACCTCAGAGCTACTGACAGAAATGTTTATTTCCATTTTAAGACACAAACAATTAGTTTAAATGGAGAATTTTATCCAGATTAGTTCATATTGACTGAAACTAGCCAAAGAACACTAAAATAAGCAATTTCACTACAAAATCAGAGAGGCTATGACAAGTGGTGCATGGTATGAGTGAATAATATTTTCTACTCAGCGTAGCCACTCAGTAAACTAAAAACCAAAAACTGTCTGAAATCATGATCCATTTCTATTATTATAAAGAGCATCCCCTCTTCTGTTGAAATGATAATCTTTTCTTTCAATCTCAGAAACATAAATATTGTTTAATTTCCTACAAAAAAAAATTTTTTTCCAGCATCAGAAACCAAATTGCAACAAATGAAATAAATCTGCAATGTACAAATTAATTATGTTGAGATCAGTTTTAGGAGTAAAAATTCTAATTCTTTAAACAAAATGTGAATTTTCAAAAACTATATGGCATATAACAATTTGACAATGATAAAATGTTACACTGCAACAGTTCTTACTGCCAATTTTACTTGCAGACATAAGAATGTCTAAAAGCTGTTCCTTCCCTGCTCTAAATGCCTAAACGATTAAGCATTACTGGGAAAGAAATACGAGAAATGAGCAAAAGTCAGGACCATGAACTCTGAAATGATTCACTAAAACAACAGTAGATTGTTAGAACAAATGTCCTGGTCTTACCATGGACAGTGGTGATCCATCCTCCTCACACAATGTCCACAACGACTGCAATGGTGTGAACGCTTTGGTCTCATCATATTGCATTTGTTACATAACTCCCAATATTCTCGTTCTAGGTGAAAATGTAAAGACACCTTAGGGAGATTTGAACTCAGTACAGCACGCTCATGACAAATCTACACGCTAATGATTCAAAGACAAAAAAATACTTACGATGACCTACAAAGGGTAAGCAGCATATAAAAAACTTTTTTCCCCACTGTCACTTCAATTAAACTGGAAAATATTACTCCCACTCTGTGCCAGTTCTCTTTTCCAAAATCCTCTCTCCTCCTATATATTTCTAGGGAGTAATTACTACAGCACAAAAGCTGTCACTCAAACAAGGAAGACTGTAATTCAATTCTTTTCTTACATGTCTACTGTGAAAAAACATACCTGCTAGACAAAACAATCGCACAATCTCCCTGCCGCTCCTCCTGAGGAAATACTGCTACTTGAATTTCTGACAGCTAGCTAACTAACCTAAAATACACATTGAACACTTCAGGAGCATCTTCCGTCTCAAAGCACTTTAAGACATGCATCTCACAGCATGCAATTTTACGCATAAATCAACCAAAGAAAAGACTGAGGATAGGCTTGTTTTTAAAAACATACACTATTTTTGAATGCCTAATGTGAAATTCTTTAAGCTGATCTCCAGAGTTACTGAGTAGCTGAAACTACCAGCTGCCACTATAGCTCAGCTTAGCTATCACTTATTTCAAATTGTACCACCCAAATTACAGGAAAACTTTGAAAATGAGAATTCAACTATATATTCAGAAATTTGATCTTCACACGTGAAACAAATCACACCAACACTGTAATAATTCCATTCACAAAAGCATGTATTTTCTGTCTTTAAGGAAAATAGGTGCATGACTGAGAGTCTTAAATACTTTGGTTGTTTTTACCAAAATAGATATTATTTTTTTAATGTAGAGAAATTTCTTAAATCCCAGGAGGAAAATAAATAAGCTTAGTTTTTAGAGTCGGGCATTCCGAAATTTTATATGGTAATGCATTGTCCATATGTAAACAAAATGAAGTTAAATATAGCACTTCTGAGCCACCTGCAGGCAGCTCTAGTCTTGTCTTTCTTGCTGCAAAATAACATTTGGACACTGGAAGTGAAGAAGCTCAATATCTGAGATCATTAAACTAGTAATAATGCCAGATGGGAAATGATATACAATCTGTTCCCATAAATCCAGTGTCACAAAGGTGTCACTCCCTAATAGGGTAGCTACTAGCAGAGTTCAGAAACACCCCAACCTCGTTTTTTAATAGAATTTATACCATGCAAAAACCTATCTTCCTGTCAATGTAGAGAATACCAAAGAACTGAAGTGCTACGTTAGAAAGTACAAAATCCCTGACCAGCACACACAAAATCATACTATCAGTGTCACAGTCAAGCCTAAGTGTTCCATCTTCAGAAGTATCTACAAAGTATCATTGACATATGAAATGAATGGAGCATGAAAAGGTTGAAGAGCTATTCAAAGGGATCCCTTAAAAGTGAAAGAAACATTTGTGCACAAAGGGAATTTGTACTGGTCCCAGTATTTTGCAGGTAAATGAACATTCAGTCATAAATGTAATTTTCTGCAAATGTACTGCATCTCTTCATTCTCCAGCTCAGGTTGCAGAACCCATGTTGTTCTTCCTGCAGCAAGAACTCTGACTGCAGAATGCAAGTCTGAGCCACCTTTCATTTTACTGGATCAGAAGCTTAGTTACCCGGAGCAGAAAGAAAACTGACATGAGATTTTCTGTGATCAGTGTTTCACACCTGAATCCCTTCCTACTATCTACTGCCTAGTTTGTACACGTTGTAATGTCAGTGTTGAGGCTAAACAGACCATGTTTCCAAACACGTCATTCTAGATTCTCACTAACATCAGGAAGAAAGAGTACAATGTTACCTCTGCACCCACCACATTGCAAGACAAGACTGAAATATTCACCCCTCACTGCATTTGATACATTTTCTACATTCAAAATGTATTTTCTGTTAATGTGACAAAGCTCATGCTGTTTAATAGACCTACTCCATTCTAAACCGCTATGTAAAAGCTCTATGCATTAGGCAAGCACTTTAATAGCATCAAACAGGTCATAAAAATATTGGCTTTCTCTGTGAAGAATTATTAAGGTTTCAAATTCCCTCCAATTTTTGGAGCATCAGATACGATACAGGAATTTTGGGATAAATTCACAAAGACAGAAAGGAATTCTCACATGTTAAGTTGTTGGTCTATAGCAACGCAATGTAATTAGCATCGCATTTGTTTGATTAACAGCCCATACAAACATAAGGTACTGAAAAAAACATGTAAAAAACACACAGGTAAAATCCAGTGTAAGAGTACCTTCTACCACCACTTTCAACATCTTATAAATTTACTTAGAAAAAAGCTGTAGAATTATAATGACTAACCATCTCTAAACATTTTTATTACATATTACCAAGTTAGAAGTATATGCAATATGTTTGAAAGCCTAGGATGCAAACAAATTATTCCCATGGAAAAATTTCCTAGAAGTTCCTACATAACTAAACTTCTGGTGGAATACAAGTGTTGAAAAAGAAGTTTTGAGTCTACACAAGGTAAAGTGCTAGAACTTTACAAGTCAAAAACAGCAACATACTGATTTTAATTTTACTAATGATATAGGTTTCAGCAGAGACAGCTCGTGGTTTCCATCAAATCTCACAAAATCAATTTGATTACTAAATATTTTGAGGACATCAAAATAACTTCTATTCAATTATACCGAAACAACTTAACATACCTGTAATTGGTATCTTTGGGTTTTCAGGTAGCTTTCCTGGATCAGCTACTGAGGCTCTCACTAATGAAGCTATACAAAACAATGAGCAGAAGTAATAACCTAAAAAATAAATAAGCATTTGTTAGCCTTTTTCAGGTGTACAAAATATCTACTGTACACTGCATCAAAAACATAGATGCTCCAGCACTGAGTTGGAAATTACTCAGCCTTCTCATTCAATTCCAGATATATTTTTGGTACTATACAGTGTACAATTTTAAGTGTTCCCCAGTCTTAAAAAGGGAGAGGAAAAGGTAGCAGTGAACGCTGTTTCAATAGCACAAGCAGGATGCCACGATGACCTTACTTCTGTATTTAAGAAGTTCCTCCACTGTCTTATCAAACAAGCACCAATCATTCTATACTTCAAAGCCTCTATGTGAAAGGACATTCCCAACAGTCCACCTTCACTTTAAAGCTGGTTCCAGTTATAATTCAAGCCTTTTCCCCAGCAAAACCTACTAGCGTAACTCATATTAGCTGACCCATCCAGGGACGTATGACAAAACTAACAAAACTCAGTTTGTCAGCCATCAGTACTACCACCCCAAATTCCATCATGCACAAAGAACTGTGGGCCTGAAATTCTGTCAACAAGTTCTAGCTACAGGATCTGAAAACCATGTTAATGCTTTTCCCCAGTTTACAAACAAACAAGTTTTACCATAACACCTCCGAAATGAATGAAGTCTCAACTTCCCAGAACACAAAAATGCAGGATGTATCCCAGTACTCTTATCCTTTATCTTTACCCTTCACCTTATTCTTTTTTTTCTTACCTTTCTCATATATGTTAACTACTGCCCCAAAATACTATTTTTACTAGTAGAAAAAAGAGCTAAGTTAACTTGACTTACACAAAATTGCCACAACTGAAATATGTCCCTCTTCATAGTGAGGGAAAAGGATGACTTTTGGAATGAAGATTGTATTGTATAGCCAGACAAAGATAATCAGGCCCATGCAGCACCAACCCTGAGGGTCAACCACAAAGTGAATTCGTCGTCCCATTGAACACAAACAGGTAATAATCTGTCACGACCCAGGAAGAAAAGATTATCCTAGAGAGACAAAGAAAGAAAGAAAAAAGAGTAAATTAACTAGTATCATTCATCCACATCCACTCAAATAGGAAAAAACCCAAACTGTCAGCTATTGATTTAAGAAATTAAATGAAAACTTACAGGCATTTCACACAGTGGTCAAGAACCATGAAAAGAAATATTTTATGATTTCATTAATAAGTATATCTTGCTAAAAAGTAACATTTATCATCAAGATGCAAGTAAAACAAGTGCCTGGGAAAACTATTAAGCAATCGGTAAAGCAAGGAACTGTCAGCCAGCTGGCAGAAGCAAGGCATATAAACATTGAAGAAAAGAAGTCTCCCATCAAAATAAAAAGGTTGCAAAGCAAACGAGAAGTACAGTGAATGATATATGTTATACAAGGATTCATCCCACCTACCTATCATAGCCTCCCAGCTATATTTCAAGATTATTTTTTAAAAGCTTGTATGCTAAAATAGTCACAAGCCTCCCTAAGAATCTGTCATTTTTCACTACTTAAAAAAACTCCTTCATGGCATTTATAGCAAACCAGTAGAGAAAGGAACCACAATACCCTAATATCTTTCATGTAAATCATTAAGAGGTATCATACAACAGTAAGCTTTCTCACTATTAATCACACTTAAAGCATCAAGGTTTCCATTCTGATAGTTTAGTGTACTGCGCTCTTTTTTGGTTTAGATTGAAGAAACCCTACCAAGTCCTACAGTATGAACTTCAGAGCTTCATAAACTCATCTTCATAAAAACACAGCACTGTCGTAAGCACTATTCAGCAGAACCTTCAAGGGAAGGATTACTACTGGTACTTTTTTGTCAGGCTGCCTCCATATACATATCTTAATACTGCAACACACACATAAATCCCAAGATACTTTCCTACCCATTAGTTTCCCTGATTTCTGGGCTTCAAGGAACTTGTCCCTTCCAGATGGATGTCTTTCCATTCCTTTCAGCTTCTACTTGTTGCATTGGAATTTCATCTTGTTTATCAGCCCAACATCTGTTTCCAGGGGTTTTGCTTACTTGTTCCATGTTTGCCTATCCTCACTTGCAGTCACAATTTCTCTGCTTAATAGTCTGCTTAATAGTATCCACAAGTTTCATTAATGTAGTTTTCTTCTTTTTCTAGCTCTCTAATCAAAATCAGACTCAAATAACCTGACATTTTCCACACTTCTCCTATGCCCCATTTATCATAAACCTTTGTCTGTTGTCTTCTAGTGCAATAGTGTTTCCATTCAAGTATAGCAGAGTATTGTGCTTACTTTTATCCCAAAAATCCATCAAATTGCCAATACTTGTTTTATAAACCCATGATGCATACTGAATACAGCTGTTGCGCCCTTAGAACTGTTTTTACGTTCATGATGATCACAGAAACTATTTGGGCTATGCTTACTATTCATTTTCAATTTTACTATATATGTAGCATGCATGCACCAGTCTATTTTATACATGGTATCAATATACTACACACATATGTTCAGTCTCTAGACATATAAATGATACCATATTATACTCCCAAATCTGCCAGTTCTTGATGTGCCTCTATTGTAAGTTAGCTTTGGCAACGAGCAGGTTTAGAACATTTTATATCATTCTAAGCATGCACTGACGGAGGATCTGTCTCATCAAGCAGAGAAGCTGTGGGAGGAGACTGTACAATATAAGAGATGCTGAAAAGGAGATGGACCAGATACCCTCCAAGGCCCTCCAGCTACAGGAACATGAAACCCCCTCAATGGAAGAGAAGGAGGCACAGCCTTAGCTTGTCAGGCTGGGCATGGAGGCATTGAACCTGGTGAAACCTGGGAGCTTGTGAGCTCCTTCACCAGCAGGACAGTTCCCACTCCACGTGCAGCTCTAATCTACAAAGCAGGTTCTGAGCCCTGGCAGCAGGCAAAGACAGGGAGCTCTGTCCAGTGAAGCCTATGAGGTGGCTGTGCCCGAGTCCTGTGGCAGTGTAGGAAGGACAGGGCAAGGAACAGCAGTAGGAAACTCTCTGCTACAGGTACAGGCACCTCTGCCAACCCAATCTGTCACCTGGTAAGGTTCACTACTTGCCAGGGGCTTGCATCCTGGATACCATGGATAGGCTATTACTGAGGCTGGTAGTAGTCTGGCCCTCAGACTGCTCTTCCATATGAGCACCACGGATACAGCCAGGGGAGACAGGGAGCGTTATCAAGCATGGCTACATGGCTTAGAGTGTGAGAGGGACGAGGTGGTGTCTTTGTCATCCTACTCATGAAGGTGAAGGACTTGAGCAGGAGGAGACAGATCCTGTGGACCAACAAGTGGTTATGCAGCTTGTGTCAAAAGCTGGGACTCAGCGTTTACATCCATAGGACCTTCTCTGAGGATCAAGAACTGTGGGTGAGGAGCAGCAGGATCAACCTGCCACTATGTGGGGTAAAAGCATCCTTGACAACAGGCTGGTTAATCTCCTAAGGGAAGGCTTAGGCTAGGAACGATGAGAGAGGGAGATGGTGACCTACGATCGAGTCATGAAGTGGTGGTGAGGGTTTGCAAGCAAACAATGCAGGATGATGTGGAAAATAGAGACCAACAAAACAGTACTGAAGTGGAGACACATCAAGTGTGTGCACACACTTTATACAGAAACACCACTTGGATGTACTTGGATGCAGTTAGGAAAGCAAAAGTCCACCTGGAGTTGAATCCAGTGAGGGATATGAAGGTCAAAAGGAAAGCCTTGTACAGGTACCCAAGCAGTGTAATGAAGGCCAGGGGAAATGTGGGTCTGCTGCAGAATGGGGTGGGGTAGCTGGTGAAAGGATACAAAAAGGTCAAAGCACTTTCTTCACCTTGTTCTTCATGGGTGAGAACTGCTTTCTGGATTCACAGGCCCCTGCGACCAGTGGGAAAGTCTGGAGCAAGAAAGACTTACTGAGTGAGGGAGGATCACAGAAAGAAATCTATAAACAAACTGGACATAACACTTCCATGGGACCTTATGAGATGCCACCATGAGTGCTGAGACCACCAGCCCCGTCATTGTGAGGCCACTCTCCCTCATGTTTGAAAGATTTAAGCTTACAGCTGAGGTTCCAGACGACTCAAGAAAGCAAGTGCCAACCCTGCTTACAAGGGCAAGAAGGTGGATCCACACAGCTAAAGGCCTGTTAGCCTCACTCTGATCCCTGGGAAGGTGGAGCAAATAATCCTGGAAACTGTCTCCAAACACATGAAGGACAAGAAGATGATTGGGAGTAGTCAGCATGTATTTACGAAGGCGAAACCATGCAGACTGAGAGAAACAGGGAGGCCAAAAAAAACTAGAGGCAGCTAGAAACACCGCTGACTGCTGAGGAATCCATCTGTTTTCCATCTTACCAAAGCAGCAGAGATTCCATGACTTCACAGCGTTTCCTAAGAAGGGGAAATAACAGCTCAAAAAAACAAAACAGAGAGATGTAAGTACTGAAATACTTGTTTCCGACTGACCTACTAAGAATAACACATGAGCAATTAACAGTGAAAGAGATATGGAGAAAACAGTAAGAATGCCTATAATGGAAATATATCCCAAATTTTTGTAACTCAATGACTAACTTTTCCCTGCATGACATTATTGACTTTCATAATTACAAAACCAAACCAAACCAAAACCAAACACACACCGCCCCCCCCCAAACCCATACCTTTGATGGCAAGTTCCACAATTAAGTTGGAACTATGCAAAAAAAGGCCCCATTCTCAGGAAAGGGAGACTTTTCATCATCGTCTTCTGTATCTTTTCTGAAAGAGACAAAAATAGAGTGTGATAGTCAAACAACCATCATCACTGGTTTGAAAGGCAGCATATGATAGATTATGTTCTGTTCTGTTCTTCATACCACACCTTACTGAGTAGATCTTCCTCTCAAGCCATTCAGAGAGACACCCAGATGCTTTGCCAGCCCAGCCCAAATCACAACACCATGTCTGAACTGACATGCTGATTCTAACTCATCTTCCTTGAATTTCAGTTCTAGGCCATTTCTCAATTTTAATACAGATTCAGAAGGATGGGAGTGGTCAGAGAAAGGTCTATATAAAACTGCACTACTGCCAGTGTATTTCAGTTACTTTAACTTGTTATTTGTTATATAACGCTTGCTGCATGACAAGCTAAGTTATATATTTTTCATTATACTTTTGTCAGCAATACTGCATAAGCAATGTCAATATACTGACTTCCTCCAGCAAAGTGAGCTTTTTCCCCTCTCCCTCTTGGTTTATGTACCATATATAAATGTGTACATTTATACGTGCACATTAATGTGTACATTATATGTGGCGGCAGGGGGGTAAAGAAAACCTATCGCATGCACATTCTCATGATTAACTAGAAAGTACGAGATTCCAATTTAACTCACAGACACGGTGAATTTATAGCCTTCTCTTTTTAAACATACTTTAAAAAAAACTGTATTTATTCTTTCAAATACAGTGTCAAAGAAAGGAAGAATGATCTCAAATAATTCTTTAGGATGCATCATTTCTGACCAGAATAACTAAGAATAACTACAATATGTAGAGAAAAAAAAGTCTATGAGCAGGTTTACAACAAATCAGTTGAAAAAAAAAATTAAGTGATTTATATCCATATACACTCAGTACTCATACATGTAATGCCTAAAATTTTCTAACTAAGTACCTTTGGGATAAAATATACAACACTAATATTGGAGGTTTTGTGGGTTTCTTCCCTTTTATCCTAATTTATAGCCATTTTTTCTAAATAAACACCTCAAATACAAAGTATGTGAAAGCAAACAGCTGTGGCTGTGAAAAGCTTCAGATTTACCAAACCACAACTGAGTCTCTCCTACACAACCAAGAATTGTTCCTGCCTTCCCAAAAAATACTTTTACTATGGGATGCCTGGACAGCATTTTTTCCTAATGCTTTTCTTTCTCCCCAATTCAATTAA